ACGAGTACATAATTTTCATACGTTGCTTCATCCTATAGAAGGGATAAAATATATTACCGAGAAACACGCAACTAGTACCATGGAAAACGGCTTTTTTGTGAAGATATCTCTTTATGGACGACATGCGGCGTTCTTTTCTGCAATATTGCGATATAACGACACATTATTACCTCTGTGTGAGTTAAGGTGGCATAGTTTCTGTCTATTGACTCTGGATATTGAACCCCTGCTATTGTTTGACGCTCTGTCTAAGTCGCAGCGATAATTAAAACTCATTATAATGTAGTCAAGAGTGGTTGCAGATCACGCACAATCATTAAAAGGTACATAAATTAGTGAAAAGTTACTTTTAATGTACTATGTGTAGTTCAAGAATACATAAAACATTAGTTACGGTAAATAAATTTTACGAGCTTGTACGTTTTCATGGAATTTTGTTGAAGAATATGTAGCGAGGGGTAGGTTTATAAAAACAGAATGATCAGAAAGTTCTGAGATCTCAAATCCGCATACTTATATTTTTATGAGGTCAAGTAATTCAAAGGGAATCTAATTTAACTCCAAGGCAAAATATTGTTAGAGAAGAAACGACATAGACTTTCCTTTTGAAAGTGTACTCTTTGCTATTTAATATATAGAGCAATATGCATCCAAAACTTGGTCGTTTTCGATAAAAATGATGTTTGGTATAATAACTGACATATAATATATGTATGGTTTGTGAATACGTAAAATTGTACTTTATTTTATAAGGTATGTTATTCTGCAGACCAAAGTCGACGTTCCATCGCACCTCCTGATGACTCCGCCAATTCTCGAAGAGGATCCTCGCTGCTGTTTCTTGCCTGTGTCCTTTCTGGATATCGGCGATCCCTGTCGACATCAGCGAAAATTTCGAATATTTACAAGCACTGCGATGACAGTTTAGCTGATGTCCTTGGATGTGTACTGTTTTACTTCCACGGTTCTCTAGCGTTTTCGGGAGATATATGGCTTCGAATTCAGAAGATGGGTGAAATTTGAAACCGGAGCTCACACGACAATATATTCGCTATCGCTGACAATACAAGGATAAAGTTTTGGACATAATTATGTAATAAATTCACAGACATCCTGTATTGTGTGTTTGTCTTCAGATGAAGAAATTTTTTAAGAACCGTATTCAAATGAAGTGGAAAGGTAGACCGGCGTTAAAAATATTAGCCACGATGTTGCCTTTATGCAATTTAATGAGATATACGTAAGACAAACACATTCCAGGAGGAAACATTACTTTGTTTTCATCAACCACAATCATTTACATTCAGTCGCAAACGTTTGCGCTTACATTACTTTTGCAGCCGTTTGTTTGCATTATGGGTTTTAATTTTATAAACTTCCTTTACATTTGCTTACTGACATATACCTTTACATAAAAAAATAAAACAAAAGTCAAAGTATGTCTCTTCGTGGTGGTATAATGTTTTCTATTTTAAAAATACAAGAATATATCAATATGCGATAGAGATTTAATATTTTATTGATTCTGGTCGTAATTTTAGTTTAGGTACTTTATTTTGACAACTAAAATTATTTTAGTGTTTTTATAACCTTTTCCTTGCTTTAGTTGACTAACATAGTAATTTACTGTATAGTTACCTAATATCATATTTAGGCTTCCTTGTAAGTCAACTTATGTTGCTAGTCTATTATTATTACATATTAGTTACATAAGAAAAAGATAAGGTTTTATGGTGACTAATAGTAGCACCTGCAAAGTTACTTTTTTTAATAAATCTAATAACTATTTGCTAAATTTCAACATATATCATTCAAGTTGTCATCAGTTTGTTATTGGTACTAGGTTGAAACTTTCAAATTTGATTATTATCTGCGCAGAAAGAAACGTAATTGAATTTGTAATTAATTAATGTAAGATTACAGTGACAGTAGCATTTTTATCTGATTTCAATAATCCAGGACAAGATAACGTAAAACTATTTCAGATACAGTATCTTAGAGACCTATTTGTGAATGAAACCCAACGAAGGAAATTATAGATTTAGTCTTAGAACGGTTGTTATAAAACTCGGTGACACAAGTGTAAGACAAACACATTCCAATGTGAAAAAACATCACCTGTGTTCATCAACCACAATCATTAATATTCAGCATCAAATACTGACGCTTACATTACACTGATAGTCAATTATTTGGACGATGAGTCAGGGCAATTAAAAATCTCGTCACATAGTCCAACAGTTGTTATTAAAAATTGACGTTCTTCACTTCGCGTTATAAAAAAATATTTCTGTAATCAAGAATTAGGCAAAGATAAAAGAAATTGGATATTTACACATTTCACACTGATGCTTTTGGTAGAATCGTTTGTACACGGATAGAAATGGCCTGTAAAAATTACTAAATTATTGTGGCCCCCCATTCTATGCAACAAAATGATGTATAGATACTATTTTCATACGATTTCAACAAAAAATGTTTTACTTTCAATACATCAAAATTTTTTTATAGCAATTTTTCAAAAAATATTGTGTACATTTTTTATGCAATATTTAAATTACATACTTAAAAACACACGCATTAACAAATTTATAAATGCAAGTTTGACATAATTTGAGTCAGTGAATGTCGCCTGGCACCAAAGTTAATAAACCGATCAAAAAACGATACTTTTCCATTAATATATTTGAATGTCGGCTCCTCCTCCCCCCAAACCCTTCCTCAAATCAATTACGTACAGTGTCGAATTAGAAAGCACTCTAATAGTTATTGGGATAAGTAGGTCAGAGATCTGTAAAACGCATTGAATTTTAAAACCTGCTATTTTTCTAATAATCAACAAACCAATTACGGACAGTTATGGTGCATTATTGAAATACAAACGGCGCAGTTAGTATGGCAGTTCCTTCATTATTACGACGTTAATTGGCTTATTAGTACCGTGGTATCTCTATGAAATCTGCAAAAATCCCATATATCGATTCAACAAGGAAAAAAACAAGCATCTTTCCTAATAAGTACAGTTCTCTGCAGTCGTACGGAGTACATAAATTTCAATGCTTATGCCTCGACATTTTCCTGAACCCTTTGGTCTATGTAGTTTTTTAGTGAGAAGACAGACTCCGATTTAATACAATATGTCCAAAAATATACTTTGCCAACGTTATGAAATGAATAAATATCATAATTTTTGTCTGACATGGTAGAGAGAGGATATGACGTATTTTTTATTAATCTCCAAACTTGAAAATTTTCGTAATGTTTTCATTTGCATGTCTTTTTGTGTTCCTAAGTTGGCAGTGCCAATAACAGCAAGTAACTATAACTAATCAATTAAGTGTGAATTAAAAATGCACCGAATTTAATCGTACTTAAATACCCGTGTAAATATCTGAATCTGTTTAAGAAATTTTAAGCCGAGGGAATTGTTTTTGTCTATCGAAATCGTAGAACCGATTATGAATATCGTTATAATTGGTAGAAAAATTTAATTTTTGAAAAAAAACTAAATTGCAAATTGATAAATGTAATCTAATTGTTTAAAAATAAAAAAAAAATAGTGTTAACTTTAAAAAATTACTGTGGTCGTCCTAATCAACCGATTTCAATTTTTCAAAATCCATTTGAAGGGTTGACTGGGCTTTTCTATGTGAAACATTTTTCAAGTATCTAAATGCTTTATTTCAGGCTGTGCAACATTTTGAAAACTCGACAATTTTTTTTCAAAATTTTTTTAAAAAAAAATATTTTGCGAAAACTATCGAACCGATTTTAATGAAATTTGGTTTGTTGTTTCATTATACTCTAAAGTTTTTTTTTACCAAAATTAGAATGCCCTAGGAGCAATTAAAATATTTAAAAAAATTATCCAAAAAACTTGATTATTTTGCCTTTTCTTTCACCAATTATTGATATTTTGCAACATCGGTAATAAATCTAAACATTTTTAAATCACAGTATATTGTGCAAAATTAAATTCTAAAACTTTTTTCCTCTTCAATATTCTTCCTAAATGCATAGGTTCCAAGATATAAGTAAAAAAACTCAGACAAAATAGGAATTTTTGCAATTTTGAAAATGTTCCGGACCTCGCCCAGATCTAGGCATCTACACTTTTATTATGTGAGTTGTACTGAAGGTAATCCAGAAAAAATTTGCTTGCCCCCTCTCACATCCACCTCAAAACAGATCCCCCTTGGTCTAAATAAACTGTATTCGTAAGTACAAATACTGTAACATATTTAGAATCCGTATTCTTCCATCACGAATATATTTCATATTCATAAACTTTTTTTGTGAATACTAAATTACTGTATTCGTTATTCACATTTTTATGGATTACTGAATAATGTATTTAATAATAATACCGGATTACTCTTTGCCCAACTTTAACTGTATCGGTAACATAAAACTCTGGCAAAGATCAGCAGGATTTATGTCAGTGTCAGTGATTTATGTCATTTAGTCATACAGTGTGTCACGATTTGTACAAACTTATGTTCGCCTGCTAACAGAATCCTCAAAATAGGAAAATATAGGTCGTAGAACGTTTTGTTTTCAAGGAAATACTAAAATTAAAAAAAACATATTACATTTATTTAATTATCTCTTAATATGTTTGACCTAGATTGATGAAACTTGGAGTGATGACTTCACTAATGATGAGCAAAAGTTTATTGAGTTGATATACGTGAGACGATGGTTGATACAGTGTGTTAAATTTCGGTTGGTGTTTCGAAAAAAAAATATAATATTGATTTTTATTTCAAAACTGTATGTCAAAGACGATGAATTCTACGACTTATGTTTACGTGGATTTTTTCTGTTATTTTGAGATATTCTGTCGCCAAATAAAATGAGGTATGAGCAACTCAGGACACTATGTATAATACAATCTTAAATATTTTTTCAGAAACGTCTAGTTCGTAGTAAATAGTACCAAATAAGCATGGTGGGAAGTTGTGAATGGTCTTAAATAATAATAAAAGTAAATCACGTACCAAGATCGCTAGTTTTAACCACCTTGGCAACATCACAGTTGGGCTTGAACCGCACTTCTGGCGAAGACACGGGATTCAAAGACGTCTGGGATCTCCTTAGTCGTTCCCCTTGCTTCACTTGCCTTACTGTGCGACCCGTTGCCATTACATGACGACATTCTTCCTAACTCTCCCCTTAGATGATAATGTTTCGATAATTTAACGATCGGTAACTCCGCTGCCTAGTTGGCAAACGGGAATCGTGTCTTTTATTTTCTATATGACTGGTAAATTCTTATTTATACTTTGCATTGCTGCCTGGTTAGTGGAAAGGTGCAATTGAGTTTCTCTGTATGAAGTATACGCCAGATGAAAGTTATATTAATAAATTGTTTATATTACGTTGTTAACTTCAGGTGTTTCTCCCACTTTGGCGTTAGATGGCAATCATCAAAACAGGGATATGAACTGGCTGTCTGCGGGTCAACATGTTTATGCGCTTATGAGAGCGGTACGAGAAAAATTTATGAATTAAGAAACATTTAAAGCGAAACTCGTAGAATGTATAATATATACATTTAATTTATTTACTCATACCTAAATATATACGTACGGGGTATAACAGTGACATTGCTACAGAACAGCGATCATGTACGAGCTTTTGAAAGACGATTGTTCTAACATTGCTTTAGATTTTCGGAATTTTACTTGTGAGTTGTACGAAAAAAGTGCAAGCGACAATAATCTAGGTTGGATATCTGTAAAATTCTTTCCGATGTCACTTCAAACCTTTTAAACCCCTTGCGATTTCGACCTCAGGCAATTTTTGATGGTTAAATTTTACTTATTGTCTGAAGTTACTTATTTGTGTCATAATTTTAATTTTTTTCTTTCTCTTTGTTTGAGCATTTTGAAACCCGTGAACAAATTAATGAAATCAATCTGCTTTTATTTTCACAACTGGAAATGACTTCTGAATTATTTAGAAGCTGGAGTTGGTAGGAAATCAACTCAAATTATTTTCTGAACCTAGATCCTTGATAACTACAAATATTAAAATAAGAAGTATTTGTAACAAAAGAATAAACATCCTATAATGTTATTAATTACGGAAAAACGTAAACAAAAAAGTTTTACCTGTTACAACTAATTACGAAAAATATTCTGTTCTCTCGATACGGAAACAATTTTATTGGCATGTTGTCTTTCAGTGTGGAATTTTTCGTTAGCCAAAACTGATTTAACAAAAATAACTCTTGACTGATTCTGTTGGTACAAGGGTTTATTTCATTAGTTTTTTTATATATAAGGGCAAAATGTCCAAATAAATAGTGAAAACAGAATTATACAGGGTGATTCACTAATGATGACCAAAAATTGAGGTGTCATTTTTGGTCACCATTTGTGAATCATCCTGTATATAAAGTAAATAAATAACCACTATGAGAGAGATAAAAATGTAGGCCATTTTTATTGTTTTTTTTTATTGTAACACTAGTCGCTCATTAAAATTTGCCGCAATGTCATTTGTTACACCCTCCAGGTATATTTTTTTGTTTGAATAAATATCTGGTTTTTTGAGTTTATGCTCAAATTTTTAACGAAACTGAGAAATCCATATACAAGGTGTTCTCTTTAAGGATCAATAACCCCTGTAACTTTTCTATTATTGACTGATTTTAACGAACTTTTTCGCAAATATGTTATTTTTGTTGTGGGGTAACAATGTGTGCCACATAAATAAAAACATTTTTTTTTTCTCTCTATTTCTTCGTATTTCTGTAAATAGATCATGTGTAATTTGAGGAACACTTTCGTAATTTGTTGCAATGATATTTTTTAGACATTATTTAAGAAATACAAAAATCAGTTAATTTGTGTTTCAAATTATCCCGAACAAGAATTCGTTGGAATTTTTTAAATAAAAAAGGCTTAGTAGTTCTGCTTTACATATAAAAATGGTTGCAGTTGGTCATGGCTTTGTATGAATTGTAAAATGATACTACTAATGCACTTTTACAAAATCTCTTTCATAAAAATAAAATGATGGTTAGTCCTCAATAAAACACCCTGTGTATAAAATTCTTTAATCTACTCTTATAATTTTTCAATTTAATTTTTACTAATATCTAAATATTGTCATTCCTTAAATAATATTTATATTAAAGTTGAAAAAAAAAATATAATAAAATTCAGTCAAATTTGAGAAATCCTTTCAAACACATCAAAGCTAGCTCACCCTCTATCAGATATTCAATATTTCAGGAAAAAAAAGTATTAACTATATAATTATAGGAATTTTTTATGACAGTAATAGAATTACCAGTTAACAAAATGCTGAACACCTACTTTGGAAAGTTTGCTAAAATTGGATGTGGATATAATAATGATTTTATTGGCACGCCATATTCGGGACAAAAGTGACTAGTGAAAAAAAAAGGTGACAATTTATGTTACACTTGAGCTGGCGAAATGTTTACTTTTGTTTTTATGTTTAGTGTCAATAAAATTCGGGATCCTTTCTTACTTACGAAATCCTAGTTTCGTTTCAAGCAAAGTTCAAAAAACCCGAGTGCCAGCAAAATACATACCCCGAATAAAATACCTATTAAATTAATTCGCTATGCTTATTATATCCGAAGAATTACACTGTTAATTTAATGGGTACGCTCCAGTAAATCCATTGTAAGTAAAAGTTAACAAAAACGGCCGCAGAACTGTAAGTCGGTGCCGCACTGTATTTTTAATAAAAAAAAAGACGGTCCGAGGTTTTTCAACTGAACCACATCACCACCGGAATTTTTACAGCACCAGATGTCACAACATAATTCACTAACGCAAAATACAACAATAGTAGAACTTTCACGCGTGACGCAACTCAAAATTTGAAACTATTGTTGTGTGTTCACACGCATAATGGTAATCTTCTTGGGAGAGCCGTGGGTGTAGTTTTAAACTTGGCGCTGTTGGCACTACCGAATTGGATGTGTTGCTTACAAATAGAGGACTAAATTGCCGGGCAATTGTTTGGTTACGCGGTACGACTCCTTTTGGTGGGGATTTACAGATCTTAGATATTATTATCATAACTACGGGAAGTAGCTGCGTAAGTGGTGCGAGAAAAGATACGGTCCGTGAATTGTTCGTTTAATTTATGTTGTTTCATTAAGGTGAAGCAAGCAGCGTTACCGGCCGTCTGCCGTTTCTAAAGACCCGGTGAGAAACGATCGTTCTTTAACGCGACGAGCAAAAATGGAGTAATACGCTTATGGCGCGAATCACATGTATCTCTAGTGAATGACAAATCTGCACCGAGGGACGAATTCGTTCGGGAGAAATAAAATTTATTACAGCCATTTAAGCCATTTTTTGTTTGCTGTTAAAAATGAAATTGAAAGAATTACAAAATACAGGGTGATTCACAAATGATGACCTCGTATTCTTTGGTGAATTTCAAGGGGAGTCTTTCCTATAAAGTTTTTATCTAGGACGCTTCGTTAAAAAGATACAGGGTGTTAAACTTCAAAAAATATTTTTAATTTTTTTAAATAATTAAAAAACTAGTAAGTGAAATAATTTCAAATGGGGGACATGTATTTATGTAAACATTGTTTAAAATCTGAGGGCTTTTCATAAAATTTACATGCTGCAGTGGCGGAGATACAGGGTATCGGTGGCATATTTTACTCAATAAAATAGTACGCCACTGCTTTACGGTAACAACCATGATATTTTCTGATTCGTCTTTCAATTCTCTACAAATTACTACTCTCTTATGTTTTTCGAAAAAAGCCTGATTTTCGAGTAAAACTTAAAAAACGAACTGAGGACACACTTCGATATTCGAATAAGTATAATGCTTTTTAAAATTACGTAGTGGGCTGCGATAGCAACTTTGACATTCTGAGCTGTTAGAAGAAAGAATAAATAATGTTTTTCATCAGATTCGAGCAACAATAAATTTCGAACAAATTACATTTTCGTTACTAAAAAGATTGTGTTCGTTGAAATGGAGGTATTTTCGAGCATTTACTCAAATAAAATTATTAAAATCATGACTAATGTTATTAATTTCTTTATTCGAATAAATAATCCAATGATTAGTGCTTGTCATGTCATTTAAGTAAAAGTTTTCAGTTGGTTTTTTAAGTTTTACTCAAAAATCAGGCTTTTTTTGAAAAACATAAAAGAGTAGAAATTTGTAGAAAATTGAAAGACGAATTCGAAAATATTGTTGTTACCATAAAGCAGTGGCGTACTATTTTATTTAGAAAAATATGCCACCGGTACTCTGTATCTTCGCCAATCGAGCATGTAAATTTTAGAAAAAATCCTCAGATTTTGGACAATGTTTACATAAATATATGTGCTCAATTTCAAATATATCTCTTACCAGTTTTTAAATTTAAAAAAAAAATAAAAATATTTTTTAAATTTAACACCCCGTATCTTTTTAACGAAGCGTTTTACAGGAAAGACTCCCCTTAAAATTCACCAAAGAATACAAGGTTTAATTTTTGGTCACCCTGTATAACTAACATAAAAAAAAAAATACAAAAAATTTGTTTGTAAATAATTATTTCATTTTGTAAAACATTTGTTTTGAAAATAAACAAAAAAATATTAATTTTTACAGTTTTTTTTAAATAAACATAGGTACTAAAAATAATGTGCAATAATAACTTTCTGATATTTAAAAAAAACTAAAGCTTCCTACTAGTTCAGAGCAAGCAAGATTTTTCCTTAAGTGTGTATTACTGTTATTTATTTCACTATAAATTTAAAAATTAGATTAATTATAGCCGGTATATAGTTTCTACCAACTGATATGAGTCACAATAATGTGCACGATATACCATTTTGAATAAATCAGAAGGAGTTAACAACCCACCGAGTCCGCTCAATTTTTTTGCTGTCATTTCGAGAGAAAAAATCGAAAATTTACAGCTACGTGCTATTTATAATTGGGTATATATCAAATATGTCAATTGTTGTGTCTTGTGAGTCAAAAGTATAAAAAGTTCCACGTTAAGCTTTTGTCAGTTTATAACAAATGTTTATATAGATGTCTGTTTAAAAATTCTTACACTTAAACGATGAAAATAAACGCTCTAAAGAAAAAATTGTGTTCACTACTACCAATTTTATCAAGATGTATTTATGGTTAAGTCCAAAAAAGTCACCCTGTATAACAATATACCAGCTCGATATCAGCTTTCAATTATTTTAAAGTGTTTTTCATACACTGCATTTATTATATTATTACAATTTATCCTTGCATAGAGTTGAAAAGACTAAACTTTTTTTTTGTTAGTTTATAGTTTATGAGTAAAAATGTTCTTGTTAAAAAAAATTCGCTTGTGTTACAATGTACAAAAAAGTAGTTTTTATGAACTTACATGTATATGTTGCCTTAAACAGCACACAAATAACCAATACTATTCCAGCATTCAATATGTACAGAGTGATCGCAGATTGTTTTAATAGTAGTTTATAATATTGTCGACTATAAAATATTTTTAATTTAAAATTTTGGCTCGTGGGGTAACGATCCTGTATTAAAAAGTAATTTGTAGTAACATATTTTTGTTTCTGAAAAGTTAAATAGGACTTATCAGAAACTAACAAATTTTTTCCTTATGTGGTAAAAATTTTAATGATATAAATAGATGTAGATAAAATAACAGATGAATGAAAATAATTTTCTCACAACGGTTGTAAATTATATACAACTAGGGCCACCTAGCTACCAATAGGTAGTACTAACTTTAGTTATATAAGCTACGCTATCATTATTCAAGGACGTTAATATTGGTCGTTAATTGCTTTCATTTCCATAGTAGTTTATTTAGCTTTTTTAGATTTTTAAGTAATTAATTAATATTGTTAACTATTAATTAGTAACTATTAATAGTTGTTTATAAAATTTGCACATACTTGCTTTGGTTGCAAAATTATTTATGTCTACGTATATATTAGTTCGCATAAAAAATCTAAGGCCTGTAAATTAACACTTTTCTTTAGTATCGTCAACTTATCTCTATTTCTCAGATTTATTTTTCAGATTCAGGTCTAGATATTTTGATATTTTGGCATTTAAAATCACGTATTTAACTGTCAAAATATCTTATTTTTCCCATAATCCCATAGTTTCAGTGTGTTCATTTAAAATTATTCTCTAAATAAAGTTAAAATTTATATATTTCTAATGCGCTATTAACATAACAAGGATAATTGAATTAACTCGTTGTCTAATTCGACTTTCAAAAAATAATAGGTAAATCCTTTTCTTATAGACAATAATTATTTCTGATATTTTTTTTAATACATTTGACGCTATTCCTGGTAGAATTAATAGTGGTATATTTAGCTTAATGCTTTAATGCCTATCAACAAATTGTTAAACATCATTCACAAGATTTAACCGCATAACACTGGCGCCTTCGGCATTTTTTTGAATAATTTATAAAGTGTATGATGCTTGTTGAATTTGTAACTAAAGCGGCATAAATTATATATACACATTAGAGCATTATACATTATGCAACATTCTATACACCACTTCTATTTCTTCACTGATAACAAAGAAAATGTTTAAACATTAAAGAAGCACCTAATTTCTCATTTATTGGGAAATAGATAAATGTACTGAAATTAAGTTGCTGTTGACAGTATACAAATTAATAAAAACAACTTTCAATAGATAGCATTTGATGTCACTGGATGTAAACGTGTGTTAATTTACATATTTCACAAAGTTAGTCATTCCAGTTTGTCATAAAAAAATTAATTAGATAAAAAAATACTTTCGCTTCTTTCTCTCATAAAAAACTACAGTTTTGCTGCAAATTAACATTGTCTAGAATGTACCGTGAAGCACGTAAGGAATTTAATTATGATTAAGTTTTACAATTAACAAATGCAATGAAATACACATGAATTATTTTCAAAACATGTCCTTTCTTCTTAAATGTATGTGGTTTTGGGCAGTAGCTTAATATTTTTTATTTTGAAAAGGTACCTGGATATAATAATAGGGAGTCATTGGAGCTGTAAAAGAATTGGTGCGAGTGAATCGCGAGAGTGAGTGCGAGTTTCACTCAATATTGGGCATTTTGATAATTTTACTCATGTGTGACGTCCAAATAATTCCTCGCCCAGTAATCAACATATTATGAAAATATTTGATCTACATTTCATCGCAGATGAATACATGAGTAACAAACAAGTAGTTGGGTGGTACAAGATAATTGATTAAACCCAGTTACTAATTAATCAATCTATCAGTTACTGTTAAGTGTTTCTAGCTTCCAAGTCGTTCTAACATGGTACCCACCTATGCATAGAAACTGGAACAAGAAGAAGAATAAGTACAAAAAGCAGAACTACACTGACATTGATAACCGTTCAAAATATTTTGCTTTTAATACTGCGTACTGCTCAACACATACTTTGTAAATAATTAACGTGAGTGAATATATTAAATATATTGTGTGAAACTAAGTGAAAATCATTCAGTGAGTGAAATTATTGATTTTCTGTGGCACATATCTTTTATTAGTTTTTTTTTGTGCTGTTAAATATAAATAAATCAAACGAACAGGAAATATTCCATTTTTCAAAGAACTAATAGCTTTTAATATGGATGTGTCGCTAAATATGTGCGTATAATATAAATTAATTGGAATTCTGATTTCAGCTAAGCAAATTAGTTATATTTCCATCCGGGAGAGAATTTAAATGGTAATACGCCTAGCAAACCTTAGCGTGAGGGTCGGTAATTATTAAAGCTTTTAGATTTTAGAACCTTTTACTTCATTACGTGAGGCAAATTTGTACCCAATACGAATTTTAACAAGTAAAAAGTTTCGATTTTCCTCTCTGGTGAAAAAAAATCTGGTTTTGAATATAAATATTGGAAATGAAAATAAAAATTGCCGCACTTTCTAAACTGTAGAAGAGACGAAAGACGATATAACT